TATTATTATTTGTATTATTATTATTATCATCATTATTTTCTCCCAACATCTCTCAACACGTATGTCACATCTCTCTTTTTTCATTCACTCTTCAAGAAAAATCATGGAATAATCTATAAACCAAGCAGACAAAGGCACAAACATTGCAATTTACATAGAACTAAAAAGGTTTAATATAATTTTTCCTATAATCAAAACATATGTTAACCACTTTTTATTTTAACCGATTTGAAAGCACATCTTGTGTATAAATTAGCAGTTTATAACATCAAATGTAATTAATTAGTTTATTAAACAATATTCATTTATTAATTTTACCCTAGCATTGAGTTTTATTACAGTCTATTCGTTGGAGAACCGTCCAGACCGAACAGGCTTAGTTGGTACAAACTAATATTATATTTCTTTTAATCTTTAAAAGCGTGGCATCTCCTTCCAAGTCATTATCTTGTGCGCAGGTTGTTATATTTAATGTATTTATCTCCACCTTACTCCGAACGGAAGCCCACATAATCCTGTCTGACTTCACGAAAAAATGTCCCCTCATTGATGATAATCACTCAGATATGTATCTCTCAGAGTGGGTTCATCTACTTTCGATGCTGCAGAGAACCATGCTTTAAAAAAGAAAGAAAAACATGGTCCTATGCAGCATTTATAAAATTATAGAGTATGGTCCTTTATCTAGTGCAATTGTGTTCTTATAAGTACAGTCCTCTGCGACAACGGAGGCAAATAGAATGGAGGAAGGATAGTGGTGTGAAGCGGCTAGTTGGGGTGTTTTTTATAGGCTGATTGTCAATTATTTATTGATTGTTATCTTCCTGTTTGTCTCTTTCTTTAGCTTTTCTATTAGATGGGCGTTGTTTCTTGGACCTTTTCTCAATATGTCTCTTGGCATTCTGCCCTGTCTGGGTTGCTTTGTTTCCAACTCAGGTTTTTATGTCTTGTTACCACCTTCCCTTAGGTCTCATCCTACCTCTTTTGCATTTTACGTTTGTTTCCAGATAATGATATTATGTTTTTCGAGTGAATCATTGAACTGATATGCGTATTAGTAATGTTCACTTCTTCTTGTTAATCTAGTGTTTTTCAGCCAATGGGAGCACTGAGGACGACTCTGCAATCAGCTAGTTCTTTTTTGTTATCGTTCTCTGAATTTCTCGCCATCCATGTCTGTTGTAACCCAGGGGACGGTCAACGCGCATTGTGAAACCGATGTCGCAATTGTAATGATATCCTACATGTTTTACGGCCCCATCTACACAATTTAGATCGTCTAGGGGATGGGACACTTCGACCCCGACTGCCAGGGCAAATGCTATAACGAAATGGAAGCAAACAACATTCCAACAGACAGACGGAGAAATGAAAAACCCAACCCACGTCAGAATTAATTTAACTCATATCTTTTGAGTGCGACAGCGAAGAACGAAACCGTTCCACCAAAGATGTTGGAATTCATTGCCCTTTTCTGTCGTATATTTATGTAAGTTATCAGACGAGCAGTTTCGAAAAGTACATGAGGTTCTTGCACAAGATTGTTTTTAATGCTAAACAATAACTTTCACTCTGTGATTCTTGTTAACACAAAGTGCAAATAACAGCCTTTTTGGGGAAGGGGTGGGGGTGGGGGGGTAGTATTTTACGGCGCTTGCAACTGAATAAGGGCATATGGGCGAGCGGGACACACCAAACATATTCAGTAGATAGGAAATTTTGAATTTAGCCCGGATGGCGGCTGAAGCCTTCATTGATCGATTTTGGACCAAAACGGGATCTTTAACGTGTGCAACATGCACACGGGATCGCCGAGATATTTCGCCCTTGTCCGAGAAGGCTAGGTGTAGATCTTACCTATCATAAGATCAAGGGCTTGGCTAAAAGACAGCAGTAAGGTGGAGCCAAGAAGAAGCAGTAGAAAGGCTACAAAAAGAGTCAGGAGCCAAGAGGAGCGGGCAAAAGAGGTGAGAGGTGTTGGCAGAAAGTGGAAACGAAACGCAGACCACAGAACATTGTTAGAGAGCAGGAAAGGAGATGAACAGAGAACAGTTTATAGAGAAAAAAGATGTCCATCATTATCCGGGTTCGGACCAGTACCTGTTAAATGAGAGTCGAACACCCTGACCTCCAGTCCACGAGAGCCCCCCCCCCCAAAAAAAAAATAAAAAAATAAATAATAATAATAATAAATCCTTTGGATGGAATGGATTATAATACGTACATATGTCATGCTATCTACGTGTTATGCTT